CTTTTCTTCACTTTACTAATTAAGGCAAAATTATTTCCCAAGTAGTTCCAGTTTTAGACTCCTATTAGCAGTGCACAAAGTTTCTATTATTTTACATCCTTACTTGCAATTGTGAGATGGTTTCAATTTTGCCACTCTATTGGGCGAAAGTTTGGTATTTTCAATGTGCATTTTCCTGAAAAAAATGAATTTGAACACTTTTCATATGCTTATTGGCCATTTGGAGTACCTCTTTTGTGAAATGATAGTATATATATTTTGCTCATTTATTTTTTGGATTTTATGTACCATTTCCTTATTGACTTGTAGCAGTTAAAAAAGAGGTAAAATAAAATAACATAAAATTCACATTTTTAAGTTTACAGTTCAATGTAGTAATTTTTAATATATTATTGGGTATCTTTTTATTCACTGTGTAATTTAACTTTTTAATGGTGTTTTTGATGGACAGAAGTCCTTAATTTTAATGCAGTTAAATGGAACAATCTTTTATTTTATAGCTAGTGTTTTCTGTGTTTTGTTTAAGAAATCCTCTCCTACCTTGGTTCAAAGATATTTTTATTCCACCCTTTTCTAGAAGCTGTTTAGTTTTGCTTTTCAGATTTATGTTTCAATCCTGAAATTTTATTTCTGTGAATAATGTGAGGTCCAATTTAAATATTTTCCCATGTAGATGAGCAATTACATATTTATTGAAGAGACCATCCCCACTGTGTCCATATATGTGTAGATATGTTTTGAGGCAGCTTGTTCTGTTCCGTTAGCCTTTTTCTTTTTTTCTTTTCTTTCTTTTTTCTTGTTTTTCTTTTTTTTTTGAGATGAGTCTTACTTAGTCGCTCAGGCTGGAGTGCAGTGGCGCAATCTCGGCTCACTGCAACCTCCTCCTCTCTGGTTCAAGCGATTCTTGTGCCTCAGGCTCTCGAGTAGCTGAGATTACTGGTATGCACCAAACACGGCCATCTAATTTTTGTAGCTTTTGTAGATACGGGGTTTCTCCATGTTGGCCAAGCTGGTCTCGAATTTTTGGCCTCAAGTGATCCACACGTGCCAGCCTCCCAAAGTGCTGGGATTACAGATGTGAGCCACTATGCCCAGCCTCCATTGGCCTTTTTGTCTATCCTTGTCTTGATACCACATTCACTTAATTATAACAGGTTAATGACAATAACAATAAGTCCTGATACCTGGTAGAACGTGTCCTTTCACCTTGTTCTTCATTATGTTTCTTCCTTGTTTTTAGCCCTTAACATTTGCATATAAAGTTCATAATCAACTTTTCATATCCCACAAAAATCTGTTGGGATTTTGATTAGGCATGTATTAAGTAGACAATGGAGACAATTGGTAAATTTACAATATGGAGTCTTGCAATTCATAATAGAATCTTTTATTTATTTACCTCTTATTTAACATCTCTCATTGTTTTATAATTTTCTCTGTAGAGGTGGTACATACCTATTTTAGGTATAATTTTAGGTACTTAATATCTTTTTATATTATATAGTATTTTTAAGTGGTTTAATCTGTTTATTGCTTGAATACAGAAATGTAATTAATTTATAAAATAATAACTATTTTTTAGAACAATTTTAGATATACAGAGAAATTGGGCAGATAGTAAGACAGTTCTTCAGTTCTTATGTTACCACCCCACCCCTGGTGCTTCCCTCCACACTTAGTGTCCTGATTATTAATGTCTTACATTCATATGGCATATTTGTTGCAATTGATAAACCATTATTGATACATTATTATTATTATTATTATTACTTTGAGACAAAGTCTCACTCTATCGCCCAGGCTGGAGTGCAGTGGTATGATCTTGGCTCACTGCAACCTCCACCTCCTGGGTTCAAGCAATTCTTCTGCCTCAGCTTCCTGAGTAGCTGGGAATACAGGTGCATGCCACCACGCTCAGCTAATTTTTTTGTATTTTTAGTAGAGACGGGGTTTCACCATGCTGGTTAGGCTGGTCTCGAACTCCTGACCGCAAATGATCCCCCCACCTCAGCCTCCCAAAGTACTGGGATTACAGGTGTGAGCCACCACACAAATCTTGGAACAGAAAAATGGCATTAAGTAAAAACTAAGGAAATCTTTAGTTAAAGCTCATAGTTTATTCAGATTTCCTTAGTTTTTACTTAATGCCATTTTTTCTGTTCAAGATCCCATCTAAAATACCACATTATGTTTAGTCATATTTCCTTGGGCTCCCCTTGGCTATAACAGTTTCTCAGGCTTTGCTTGTTTTTGATGATCGTGACAGTTTTGAAAAGTATTGATCAGGTATATCGTAGGATGGCCTCCTATGGATATTGTCTATCGTTTCTTCTCAGGATTAGACTCAGGTATGGTTTCTTTGGGAGGAGGATCACAGAGGTTAAGTGCCGCTTTATGACATCATATCAAGGGTATATACAATGATCATGACTTATCACTGTTGTTGGCCTTGATCGCCTGGCTGAAGTCGTGTTTGTCAGGTCTCTCCATCTTTTTCCTCCCCCTTCCATTTTGTACCCTCTAGAAGGAAGTCGCTATTTGCAGGTCACACTTAAGAATCGGGAAGTTATGTTCTCTTTCTTTTAGGATGCAGAATATACACAATTTATTTGGAACTTTTATGCATCAGAGATTTGTCTCTTTTCCCCCACTTTTTAATTTATTCAATCATTTATTCATATCAATATGGATTTATGGATATTTATTTTGTATTTTGGGCTATAATATAAAATTTATTTTTATATAGTAGTTTAATACCCATTGCTCACTTTTTCTTTTAAAATTTTCTATTTAAAAATTTTGACTTTAGGCCAAGCACAGTGGCTCATGCCTATAATCCCAGCACTTTGGGAGGCCAAGGTGGATGGATCACCTGAGGTCAGGAGTCAGCCTGACCAACATGGTGAAACTCCATCTCTACTAAATACAAAAAGTTAGCTAGGTGCACGTGCCTATAAATCCAGCTACTTGGGAGGCTAAGGCAGGAGAATCACTTGAACCTGGGAGGCGAAGGTTGCAGTGAGCCGAGATTGTGCCATTGCACTCCAGCCTGCACAACTACAGTGAAACTCCATCTCAAAAAAAAAAATTCAACTTTAATACTATCATATATTTTAAATTTCACTTCTTAATAGTTTATCTGAAGATTATTTTGGAATGTCTGTATATTGCATTATATGACATGCAAATAATGACAGTTTTGTTTTTCCTGATCAAATATTACACACTTGCAAAACTTTCTTTTCTTTGCCACAGTGGACTGTCTGGGACTCTAGTACAATGTTGAGTAGCAGTGGATGGCAGGTTTCCCATCTTTATCCCAACCTTAAGGGGAAAGCTTTCAAGATTTCACTATTAAGTTTGACATTTGTCGTGGGTTTTATATAGGTACTTTTGCCAGATTAATGAATTCCCTTCTATTGCTGATGTGCTACTAGGGTTTTTTTAAAGAAAAATTATTATGAGTGGACTTTGAATTTCACTACACGCTTTTTCTTTTTGCATCGACTCTAGTGATCGTATGCTTTTTCTCTTTATTAATTTAATCTATTAATCTATAAAAATTACAATTTATTAAATCTATAATTTAATCTACAAATAGATTACATGGATCATTTTTTATTTTAAAGTTTTATTTCCACATGCGTTGTATATATGTAATATATGTAATGTACAAAATACATATTTAATGTTATTTGTAATATATAATTATGTATAGCTATATAATATAAAATAAAAAACCTTAAATTTGCCTTTAAATCTGTATTTCAGTTCTTAAAAATTAGTACTACAGCTGGGCGCGGTGGCTCAAGCCTGTAATCCCAGCACTTTGGGAGGCCGAGGCGGGTGGATCACGAGGTCAAGAGATCGAGACCATCCTGGTCAACATGGTGAAACCCCGTCTCTACTAAAAATACAAAAAATTAGCTGGGCATGGTGGCACGTGCCTGTAATCCCAGCTACTCAGGAGGCTGAGGCAGG